CAATATTATATAATATATATATATATATATATATATATCATTATATCATACATATATATATACGATATAATATATATAATATATAGAGAGACAAAAAATAAAAAAGATAAAAAGGAGACAGTTTATTCTTCTGCTGTTTGCTGCTTCTGCTGCAGCTGCGACCCTCTGGTCAGCCAAACCTTCTCTGACTGATGCCCCTTGCTGCTCGTGTACGTGTGTGCAACCACATGCAGCAGCTGCTGCTGCTGCTGCAGTTGCTGTTGCTGCTGTTGCTGCTGCTGCTGCTGCTGGTTGTCTTCGAAGGAGGCCCCCGCTCTCTCTAAAGCAGATTCTACCCGCAGCAAAAACTGCAGCAGCTCTCGCCAAGGCTCTGCTCCTTCCTCCGCTTGCTTCCCTGAGACACAGCAGCAGCAGCAGCAGCAGCAGCAGCAGCAGCAGCAGCAGCAACAGCAGCAGTCGACAACAAGCCTTGCATGCATTTGCGCTGCTGCAGCTTGATTCGCTGCGCTGCTGCCCACTAACCCTAATTATGCTCGAGCACGTAACAAAGCAGCAGCAGCAGCAACTGGAATAGCTGCAGCAGCAGCAACACTGGCAGCAGCAGCATTAACAGCAGCAGCACCAGCAGCAGCATCACCAGCAGCAAGACCACACCAGCAGCAGCAGCAGCAGTAGCAGCAGCAGCAACAGCAGCAGTACCAGCAGCAGCAGCAACAGCAGCAGCAGCAGCAGCACGAACCGAAATCTTCGTATGCTTTACGAAGGGCTCTGATGTGTGTGGGGCGCAGCTGCTGCAGCGTTTGTCTCCTATCTCGCAGCAGCAGCTCTTCTGCTGCAGCAAAGCAGCTGTAGTCGAGACACCGCAGCTGCATGCAGCAGCAAACCCACACAGACAATACTCACCTCCATGTACACTCAGCAGCAGCGGAAGCAGGAGCTGCTGCTTCTGCTGCTGTTGCTGCTTCTACTGCTGCTGCTGCTGTTGCTGCTTCTACTGCTGCTG